AAATCCACACAAGTTCTACATTTTAGTCCTACAACTACCTGGATAAATGTCCCGTTTGCAAGCTGCAGAAAAAAAACACAGATTGTGTAGCCTTCAGTGAGGTCTTGGCATGATTTTGCATCAATAGTTGACCATTTTGCTTTGCACTATTGATAAAATCTATTTTAAATTAGTTAGATTCCTTGCAAGGCCATGCCTGAATGTAATTCCAAAACCTTCATGTTAGAAAGCGCTATCTATTTAAGATGTGAGTTTGTGTCCATGTTTCAGTTATCAAACCCAAACTACCTCTGACAAAAGGAACCACCAAGTTGAAACACCAAGTCCAAAACTTTGCACCTTCAAGCTTGAGTGGTATAAGAAGAACATTTAAAGTACATTTATTAATGAGGGAAACATCAGTATTAGATTCCTTGCTTTAAGCACAAACTAGTGACAAAAAACAAACTATGAATGATGGTGAAATATTATAGTGCATGCATTTTTTTTATTCACTTAGAAGAGCACTCCAATGGCAGCTAAAGAAAAATCTGAGACTGCAGGTGTTTAGAGAAAAGGAAGTTTGAGATCAAATGTTCCAGATATATATTTTTTGTGGCTGCTTATGGTTTAGATTTTTTAAAAATAGAATGTCAGACAATGGCTCGCTAAAGCAACAGCAGCACAAAGTTTTTATTGAAATGACTGTCTGACTTTGTTTGCTGGATGATGTCTTTCAGTTGTCTGCAGAAGGGACAATCATTTTAATTCAGGCTAGAGACTCTGTACATTTACATTTTAGTTCCAGAAGTGTGCACTGGAAATCTACTGAGAGACAATGAGGCTAACAAAATGAATCTCCAAAATAAAAAAAAAATTAAAAAAAAGGCATTTATATTTGCAGGATTATATTTATGCACTCATGTTCCAGTGGAGAGCTTTCGCGGTAGGACATGTGTGAAAAGCATTTGTTTTCCTCAGAAAGTCACAGCCAGATGTCCTGAAGTCTGGCCCGTGTGTTAATTGCTGGATCTGGGAACGTGGCGACATGCCTCGAATGGAGCAGAGCTTGTAAACATTCCACAAGCAAAACATTTCAGCTCAGCCAAAACCTTACAGGAAGCACTAAGACACAATGAGAAACCTTTTGTCTGTCTGTTTTCCCTTCACAGGAGGTCGTACAAAGAATAGTCAGTTTTAGTTAGCTTTAGCATCCCTTTTATTTATTTCCCTTTGTGCTTCAGCAATTCAGCTCATGATCTCCGGGTTGTCTGTCTTTGATCAAAACATCAAGGCTGAAGATACCCTGGTGGAAAAACACCTCAGCTGTCCCAAATGTTTATCTCACTGATGTTGAACAGACTCACCTGCACAGTGATCAACGTGCGGCATATCGCATGGCACGAATCCAACTTTTGATTCTCTTCATTTGTGAGAGGACGGGGTATAAACAATGCACGCTGATTGCACCCTTCCACTCGCTCCCATATCCATCACCAAACCAGGCGCGATTTAAAGCGAATGCATGGTTCTTGATCACAGCTTCAAAATATCCACCCAGGATCTATCGCCGCGTTGTTTCACGACTGATGATGAGGTCTGGCAGAGGGATTTGTTACAGATGCCGCCTGATCTTAGACCATTATTGTAATTGAGGTTTCCACCAAGATGTATTGTTATTGTTTTTCCTGCTGGGCACATTGCTGGGCCTATGGGGGATTATTTATTCCCCCCTTATTCAAATATGCAGGCGCAGCTGCAGCGCAGAAGACAAAGTGTTTAAAATATTAGACTTATTAAATGAGACAAGGAGCAGGAATCTTAAGTTTTTCCTCTATTGTTTCAGGCAAGTAACTGTATTGTAGAGGTGACTTCTGGCTCTTGTGTCCCCTCAATTTTATAGGATGTGAATATTAGCATTTTATCAAATCTATGCCTCTTGTATTTGTAAATCCATTCTTTCAGCGCTAAAGGCTTTGTGGCAAAGTTGAGCTCACAGCGACATCAACAATAATTGGCAACCCTGGCTAAAGTCTTTCAAAAATGATCTTTGAAAGGAAAATAGGCCCAAAGCATCACACATTCTTCACCATACTTTACGGTGGAGATGATTTTCCAAACATTTATCTTTTGTTTAACACCAGACCCAGCTTCTTGTTTTTCATTTGTGTGGCAAGTTAGCATGTAGATAGTGCCTGATCATTGTTATGGAGATATGGCAAGACCAACATAACTGTGAATGAGGTTTGGAGATATTTTCACCTCCCTTATCATCCTAACTTTTTATGATAGCACGTTCAGTAACTTACTACCAAGTAAAATGTTTTGAAAGTTGCTCTAACAATTTAGCTTTTTCCAGACTTTCAGTCTCTTTTATGTAGGTTTAGTTTGAATTTGTTTAATTAATTGAGCGTTCTCAAAAACCTTTTGTACTGTTTCCTGTCATTTTGGAATAATTTTGGTATATCACTAGGTTTATTTGTATTTTACTACTGTATTACACTGTAGTACCTACATAGTTTGTAATTTAGGGGACCTTATTTAACAAAATGCAAAGCACGTTTTGGTGCTATGTTGGGGTTTAGAAGAGAACATACAGCAGCGCCACTGAGACAATACAAATGCAAATTGTGGTAGAAATGAATAAAATTTCAAATGAAATTTTCCTGATTTTCATTAAATAAAACATTTATTTTTTTTCTGTTTTTCTCTGCATACTAACTAGGGGTGTCAATGAGCGTGAAGGACACTTTTGGATGTTTTCTTTTAATACATTTATAGTGTTTCAAATTAAATGTAGGTTATGACTCAAAAATGCTATAAAACGTCTTACTGGTGAATTAAACACAAGGTTTTAGAAGCAGATCTGTTGATCACATAAGGTAGGTAGAGAGAGTTTGGTTCTGTCCTTCATTATAAGACTTTCATCCATCCATCAAATTAAAATCACTTATCCCTAGTGAGGTTGTGAGGGGTGCTGGTGTCTATCTCCAGCGGTCATAAGACTTTCATGTTTTATGTAAAATCACTAATTTAATTTAGACTGTGCTGAAGCTCTTCAAATGATTTATGTAAAGTTACCATGGAAGGACACCCTTTTTGTACATCACAGACACTTTTACCACAGTAACAAACTGTGACCCACTTACCCGTTAAATTCCTTTTTGTCCCCATTTTCCCAATAAACTACAGACGGAGAAGGAGGCATGAAGAGAAACCAAAGGGACGAGAGGAGAAGGAAAGAGCACCATGCATGATATAATGTGTTGTACGTGGACCTCTGGCCGACTATAAATAAAAGTGTCCGTCTGCTGAAGGTCAGAAACTTTCTTGCTTTTTCCATAAACGCTTCTCCAAATATCTTGTAGCTTGTCACAATTATTTAGTCCAGATGGGGTCATTGTCTGCCAGCTCCGTGGCTCCACTTGTCCACCGTCAACCTTGACTTCTCTGCCAGGACTCTAATTTCCAAGAAGCCTGATCTCTTTCACCCCGTTTTCTGCCCTCCACTTTCCTTCCCAGTGATGTATTGATCCAGACGAGTGCCACTTACTCCGCTCTCCTCTTCCAGGCCCCATTGTGACCTAAATTCCTCCCGTTACAGTCATTAATTAGCTGTTGCAATTCTGCCTTCCCGAGGGAAAGTGGGAGTATGAAAGAGCTTGTTAAAGGGCCCATCACTAAGGGGGGATTAATCAAACGTTAGGCACGTGGGATCCATTTTTTTGGATAATGCCACAAACAGTCCAGCACAAAACAAAGATTATATGTTTCCACTTGTCCTCCAGGTGTTACACTCAAACAAACTCACCACCTTCATTTAAACGCAGTTATCATTTTTAAGTGAGCATTATTAATCATTTGGGTACAGACGTTTTCTCCATAGATACTTGCTCGCTTATTAATATAATTACACAAAATGTGCCAGCAAACCCTTCAGGCTCGATCAGGGTTCCCAAGCACAAAATGAACGAATGCAAGCGTTTCCAGGTTTGGAAACGTATGGGAGAAGGAATTATTAGTAAAAATGTATGGATTTACATATTAATCTTTTTATTCTATTGTGCAAATCTTGCCATATCTTTAAAACAAATCGTTGGGATAACATTTCAGTCCATAATGTTTCATATGTCTAGACCCCTCAGATCTTCTGGTTCTGGTCTGTTCTGCATCCCCTGAACCAGAACCAAATGAGGAGAAGCAGCTTTCAGTTTCTATGCACCACAGATCTGGAACAAACTTCCAGAAAACTGTAAAACCGCTGAAACACTGGGTGCCTTTAAATCTCAACTTAAAACCCACCTGTTTAGACTTGCTTATGGCTAAAATGCGGGTTTTGATGTCTTCGATGTTTTTACTTTTCATCTAGTTATTAACTTCTTTTTATTTCTCTTTCACACCGTCTATGTAAAGCCCCCTCGGACAATGTCCCAGTCTATATCTAGGGGTGTGAGAATTCTTGTTAAATGACGTTTAAAGTCCTACAGGGTTTAGAGTCCCAGTTGACGGCGTTTCAACTAAAAACCTAGAGGTTGGAGTCCTTGTCAAACAGTGTTTTTGACTAAAGTCCCAAAGGGTTAGAGCCCCAGTTAAACGACATTTAACTGAAGACCTAAAAGGGGCCCGGGTTTTAATGTTTTTATCTTTTTTAATCTTTTTCAAAATGTCTCTCTTTCTCACTGTTTATTCAATGTCACATGCTGTTTTTATTTTAATTATGTGAAACACTTTGAAATGCCTTGCTGCTGAAATGTGCTATACAAATAAAATTTGACTAATTGATTGATTGATTGATATGTAAAGCCTAATCACTGTAGAAAACCTTTGGACTTAAAAGTATGAAATTAAACTAAGAACTAGACTCCAATAGATATTCATCATTTTCGCCAACAACCAAAACCCTTCTTTTTTTTTTTTTTAAAGGGTTAACATAATTTTATACTACAGATAATTAAACTGCTTAGGCATAATTCTATCATATTAAACTTAAAAAAGGAAGAAAAAAAGCGTCATAAAAGAGAAAAGGAAAAACAGGTTTATTAGCAACATCTGATCAAACAAAACAAATATATAGACAATATGCTGTAGGCATGTTAGTAAACATTCTCACACAATATCATTATTATTAACACGAGCGTAAAACAAGTGCACGATAATTTTCCTCATATAGGTCATCAAAGGAGGTTTATATTAACTTCATGGCAGGGCTCCATACATTACTCCAGCAGCTGATTCACTACAGTGACCCATTTAACAAAGAAGTGAAACATCGATCCTCAAGTCATTGTGCAAGGCTTCAAAGGAAAAAAAAAAAAAAAAGTACAAACCTCATCATCATCATCATCATCTGATTGGTAAACAGCAACATTTTTTTTTTCTGTCCAGTGTTCACATATTCACAACACATCCATAGTGTTTATAACAGGTTTTCTCCCACTGTCCACACGCATAAGGCTGCAGGCACGTGTAGCACCAGTAGTAAGTATCACACCTATAAAGAGTGTGTTTCAGGGGGGTGTGCAGTATCAGGGGGTGAAATAAATCATGATACTTGGAATGAACATCCTTTCGAGTTTGATATTACCTTAGTGTTGGAATACTGTAGTTATTGGTTCATACAAGGGCCATTACCTTTGTATTTATACAAGTATTTAAACATATCCAATATATTGTAAGGAAGGTGCCTAACAATAATAGTCTATCTGCAGACAAGATGAGCTTCAAAGTCACATTGTCTGCTGCTAAGTCTGTGTCTGATAGATTCAAGCCAGAACACAAACAGGGGGGAGGCTGTCTGAGCAGCCAACAGGGAAACTCGTGCTTTGAAGAGGACCGCCATCATTAATTCCCCCTGCATGTCCCCGGCACGTCGGGAATAACAAAACTGTGCCGATAGCCGTCACTGGACAGTCTGCTGCTTTGTTTTGTGCTGCATTTCTAAGCAATTTGTGATTCATGTATATTATTGTTAAGGCAGAGGTTTCTGTGCATTTTATTTCCATAATAACATTTTTGCAACACCAGCCTGTGTCCTTACATCTGGAGTTGCATGTTGGCAACAATTTTCAAAACTTTTTTTTTATTTATTTACAGGATAAACAGCTTTTCTGACTGAATTTTTGGTCATGTGCTGAAGTTGGCACACATCTGTGTAAATGCATCAGTTTAGACAAAACACAACAAAATTCCTGAACAGTTTGTGCTCTGATTTTTTTAAGGAGACCCAATCAATGCTTCCATGTATAAATCATTGTTATCTATATTAAGTCATATAAAGCAATAACTTATCATTTTAAGCAGTGGTTATTTTCTTCTTTCGAACAGCAGCGACTCTGCCTCAAGAAGAAACTATTTTAGACTTCTATCAAATCCTTATCTTTATGCCAGTTTCAGTGTTAAGCATGAAAATAGGAAAGACCATTATAGATAACTTAAGCAGTGAAATAACATAAATATAAATAACTGACCTAACCTAACCCTAACGTAGCCTGAACTTCTGAGTTTCAGAATCTAAACTCACATAACATTACTTGGTCAACTCAGATTATATCCAGCAGTCAAACAGCTTGGTGCAATTTGGTTCTTGTTTGAAAATATATGCCATCATAACCTGTGCCTATCAAACTGCAGTTGAATAAAACTAAAAACTTGTAGAGCTCCATTGATTTGGTTCCATTAAGTACTGTATTTTATTTTTTTTTTATGTTTTAAACGCAGTAAAAAACAAACAAACAAGCAAAGAAAAGAAAAACAAACATAAAACCACTGCCCCATCATTGCCTGGGTGGGTTAAATGTTTTGAGACACTCTTTCTGGCCTGGAAATCCAAATATTTTCAGGTAGAATTAAGTAAAAATTGTCTTCCTTACAACGTTTCCTTAATGCCTCGGTTCGTCTTGATTTAAAATGTGTGTTTGAGGTTCATATTTCTGTGTATGACCACAAAGAGGGGGACTTTCTTTAAATAATCATTGTAAACAGCAGTAATGTACAGAAAAAAAAACAACAACAATATGACAGTGACTTCCTGACTACTTTAAACCTAAAAACTAAATCAATAGAGTCAATCATGACAGAATCGACCTTTTTTTTCCTAACATTGTCTCAGTGATGAGTATTTCACAGAAATACGAATTTCTTCACTTGTCCTTTCATCTTCCACTGAACAGCTGTGATTCCCATAAAGCTTTAAGAAGTTCACATCAACTATATCTCAATATGAGAGATCAGCCAAACAAAGAGGATTAGTTGTGATGAAATTATGACGACCTGTTTGGGTATTGCTCAGACGGTTGTCTTCTTAATGGCTCGGTTGAAACGGATTTGTAGGCGTCTTCAGCTGCTCTTGTGGACTGAAGGAGACGTTTGCAGGCTCCCCGCTGGGGAATCCTCTCTCCTCCTGTTCCTCATCCTGAAAGTTGAGAGATGAGATAAAAGACAGTTAAAAATGGTCCAGAAAATAAAAAAGACTATATCTCCACCTGTGCTGTTCATTTCAATAAGCCATTTTCTTCATCTTTATGTGGACTAAAACTATTACTAAAATAGTTCAACTTTAATTGGCAACTAATCATAGGAGAGTGGAACTTTTAGCTGCTTCCATTCACTACTGATAAGTTTCACCCAACAACTGTAACTGCTTCATAACGTAACGTTTTCTGGTGACACCTAACAATGCCGGTCAGAACAGGAGTATCCATAATGTCTTATTACATGATGAGAGCATGTAAAAAAAAAAAAAAAAAAAAAATCTAATTATTTATGTTGTACAAACATGATTAAAACAAGCCGTCTTCAGCAGGAAAAGTGAAATTATAATTTTAAAGGAAACAGTTTAAACGTGTGAAGCATGTTTAAAAAGTACTGTGATTAAAGAAAGGGACGCTCCAGACTAGAAGTCCGCACCGTGTCAGCCGTCTCCTCCCCTTCAGTGTGCTCCCCGCAGTGACCATACAGCTCCATATCAGAAAGGGCACTCTCCAATGCTTCCTCGTCATAGTCAGTCTGATAGTCTGACTCTTCTGAGGAGGGGAGACAGAGTGAAAGGAAGCAGGTAGTGGGTGAAAAAGAAAAGATTGTGTGAACTGAGGACAAGATGCATGCGACCGATTTAAAATGTTTAAAACCATGTGAATTCAAATAGTAACAAAAGACACAATGAGGATTAAGAGAAGAATTTACTACCTCCCTGTAGATAATTTTGTTTGCACTTTTTTTATATAGAAATGCCTAATTTAAAGAATCAAAACACATTTTTCTTTTCTTCAGTGCGTCTACTTTCTCATTAAGATATAACAACAAAAATCCTTTCTCTGTCCACACCCAGTTCTAATGGATACAACTGTTAATTTGGTCTTTTCAGCAAAACATGTCAGCTGATGGATAAAAAAAACAAAAAAAAACAACCAACAACACAAAAACAGAAGAAGTGTAGAGATGTAAAAGATCCATCTACCAGACAGAATGTCAACACATTTTTAGAAGAACCATGATGTGTTGCTGAAAGTGGCAGTGCTGAATTATGTGTCAGTTTTACCATCCACCACCGCAGGCTTGACAGGCTCGATGCGAGACACGATTTCTGCAAGGTCAGTGAAGGAAGCATTGGGACATGTCACCACCTGAAAGACACACAAATTCAACTCATAAATAGCAGAAATTGTGTTTTTTTTTTTTTTTTTGACCAGACATTTTAAGCCTCAAAAACTCTCATCTAGCAATCAGCCATTTTTTTTGGCAAGTCTAATGTGACATGCATGGGATGAATTTGACCGACAACCTGATGACAACGCATCTCCGTTTTGTTTTGCGCTCGGAGTCCTCACTTGTCACTCAAAGCTTTCCTGACCAAAATAATGCACGACTTCAAGTAATAACTCAATCCAAAGGAGTTCAAGTAGGAAATACCTAACGGACACAAATGCATATGCTGGAAAGAACAGAAGTATGGATCAGGACTGGAAGATAAAACAAGTCAGCTCTGTTCATAGATAAAATGAACAGAAATTCTCAGCTATGACTTTAGTGACTGGGGAACAGAGATGCTCATTTAAGATAACATGCATGGATCACTGCATCTGTTGTTAACAAGAACTGTAATCCCTCATCTTTGTACTCCATCTGCAGGCTCCATCTGTCTGTGCAGCATGAGAGTGGTACATAAATCCAGTGGAGTCTGCAAAAAGATCTTGCAATCATGTCACGGTGAAGAGAGAGAAAAATATTCACGCAGTTTGAATATTTTTGCTAGATTTGGCTTTTCCCTTGTTTTTTTAAGAGAGTCACCATTCTGTTAGTAAACATCTAATTTTGAATACATTAATAAATAAATCTCTGACATATTCTTTGTCTCATTCTTTCAGCATTTAGCCAATTCTAACTGACCTAAAACAAGAGAAGTTTGGTCTGATTTCATTTCAGACACTGGGGGGGCAAAAAAAAGCATGTCTATTTTCATGTGTCTATTTTCATAGACACATACAGTAAACCAGAAGTTTACTGTATGTGTTTGAAGTTAACCAGAAATACCCAAAAGCTGTGAAAAAGACATAAATGTGCAAAATAGTTGAAAAACGTTTGTTGTTGCCACCAAATTCTTACCAACAATATGGTGAGAAATTTCTTAAATGCATAACCCATATTTGTTTAGCTTCCTTAAAAGTTGCATAAAAGACAGAACTAAAAGTTATACTAGTCGTAAACATTTAACCTTCAAAATAGGAACCCATTTTTTTGTTTGTTTGTTTTAAATCAAATCTTCATATTTTGTTTCTATAGCTAAATAATTTGTGTCTTGAATTTTTTTTAAAGTAACATGATTTTTAAAGGGGAAGACATGCATTATTTCTCTTGAGACACATCCTACAAGACGATCTGAAAATAGCAAGACATCATTAAATGTCTGTGTGGGAAGGCTGTTGTTTTAAAGAATAAAAATGGGAGTTGGTCAAAAGACAGCATCACTGTTCAAATCTGAAACCCTAACAATAGCTTCAATCTTGCCTCCATTTTTCAATAAGGTGCATAAGTTTTCTGCCGTTTTGTTGCTGCTGAGTATTTTGCATGTCAATTCTGCTCTTGTTTTATTATGCACATTACTGCAGCACTTTGGAGTTAATTTGTCACTGTCTTATTTTGCTTTGTAAGGATGTAGCCTTTTCTAAATATTGATAGGAATCAGATCCAGAGGATTTTTGTTTTTACTTCAAGAGTGGAACTTAAAACAGAAACTGGTTTTCATTAATGATTTTTTTTTTTGTCTGAATCCAACAAATTTCACATTATTTAATTGTGATTATCTATATTTGATGAAACAAAGTGTGTGTTCCCTACAGACATCATGTCTCATTCTTACATTGCTCATGGTTTGGGTGTTGCGGGTCTCCTCTTGGTGCCTGTCTTTCATCATCTTCTCCACGACGCCACTCCGCCTCCACACATCAAACACGGTCTTGCCATGCTGGTAGCCCACTTCCTACAACACACAAATATTCACTGATCTGAAAGAATATATCATAAGAACCCACCAGGCATTCTTAGGATTGGAAAGAAACCATAACCATTAGAGTGTTAGATTGAACAAAAAGCCAAGTGTGTCTCAAACTTACAGCTATCTCATCAAACTTGCCAAACTCCAGAGTCCGATATCTGTCAATTGGCGGCCTGATGTACTCGCAATAGTCGCTGCTTTTAACGGACTCCAGGTGCCTCACGCAGCATACGTAAGCCAGCCGGGTCTGAATCTCTGCCATGTTCAACACCTGTTGAAATCAACGTAAAGCTCAAACAAACAAACAAAAAAAAAAAAAAACACCTCCATAAATATCTTCATTGTTATTCATAGATTTGGTTTATTTCTTGGAAACCTCCTCCCACCGTTTGTTGGGTTTTTATTCGTTAATCAATTCATCACCTTCACTTTCTCTGCCAGGGGGTTCAGGCGTTTCCATAGCACCCACCAGCCTGAGAGCGAATCGCCGTAATTAGTGAGGTTGGTTTCATCCCGGCTGCCCACGTCAATAGCTATCACCACCTTGGCCCCCATGGAGCGCGCCACATCAGCTGGGAAAATCGAAGGTAGCCCAAAGAAGAAGAAGAAGAAGAAAAAAAAGAAACACATATTGAGGTACAGAAAGAACATCTGTAATATGTTGATAACTGAGAGGGTGAGCTTAACAAACCTGGCAGGTTGTTGATGTAACCCCCATCCATCAGCAGGTGTCCGTCTTTGGGGTCACAGAGAGGGGGCAGATATCCCGAGAGAGACATGCTGGCTCGAACGTACCGCCACAGAGAACCTAAAACAGCAAACAGGACATTTTATTAAACTGTATTTTTTAGAAATTACATACAGGGACAACTACATTTATTGACTGGTAAACGTGTGCAAAAAGCCTCAATATTAAGGAATCACTGAAATAATGTGTATTTGAGTAGATTTATTCAAGCAAAAACATATTTCAAGAAAATTATTATTTTGTTTTTTCTTAAAGCCACAATTATTGGCAAAAACTCTTATAAAATAAATAAAAAACTATACTAAGAATACACAAACTAAATCAGAGCATCTTGGAAATTATAATTAGTAAACCAGACAAATGTCGGTTGATCTTAAATCAAGAAAAGCTAAAACTAAGCAACTACTGGCCTACACTTCCTCAAATCTACAATTAAATAAATAAAATTTTGATAAAACAAATAAAACTATGACAAATAAAGCTAGACAGTGCACAGATCATTGCATAGAAATAACTTTGCAATGATCTGTGCATTTCATAAAGATCTTGATAATTGTGCTGGCCACAAACTGTTTAAAGCAAAAGCCACTAAACTCGGGTTTGATATAATGTTTATAAGTAAATACAGATTAAACCACCTTTATTTGCAGGCATTGCTAAATGAAGAAACATTTCCTAAAATTGTGATTTGGGTAAATCTCCAAGCAAAGACAACCTAAAAAAATGAATTAATAAAAGAGAAGTAAAAAGGAGAGAGAATCAAACACACAAATTCAATACTTACCATCAGTGTGTACTCTCATGGCTGAAGCACTAATGTCAGTAGTAATATTAAAATATGGGATCCAAAGGTCCTGCATTTAAAAATAAAATAAAATAAAATAATTAGAACAATAAAAAACAACATATAAAGTATATACTTCCTTTTTTGTAGCTCACCTCAATCTGTTTGCTTTGAAACACTTTACTGATGCTGGAGTTGAAGCCAGCACCAGTAAACATGGAGGACATCGGATATGTGAAATCCCAAACCTTTTTAAATGTTGAGGTCATTTCCTTTTGGAAAAGAGCAAAAGACATATTTTTATTAAGTAATGACAGTATTTGTCTTGCCACACGCAAATATTTTCCTTTTTTAACCGACTATTTTACAAAGCAAGGAATAGATGAAATGTTAAAAAAAAAAATCTTAAAGAGAGAGGGATTTTCAGTTCACTTTACTCAGCTTCTTGTATGCTACTTTAGTCAGTTAATCTAGAACAACCCGAGTTGACGAAATTATCCGCAGTTCAAAGATATTAGTTATCTGAACAAGAGGTTTAACCACTATTAGTCACACCTGCAGCAAAGATCATTTTAAAATGTCTAAGAGCATTGAACAACATCTTACTGCAGCAGCTGCTCATCACAAAGGTTCCTGAAACACTTAAAGGATTGAGGTTTTAGATGTGCTGGCAAAAAATAAGAAAAAAAAAGCTCCTGTTACAAAATAGTTTAAATATGTACATGTTTCTTTAAGGTACTGAAATAATTGCTTGACTGCTGTGCATCAGCTGCCTCGTTTAAAAATAGTAATATGCTATAAACAGTGAGCAGGATGTTGGTAACCAAGTCGATATTTAATGCACAAACAGAAGAACAAACGGATGTAGAGGATGTTGGATACATCTCTTCTACATGTTTATTTGCACCTGACGTCCAATTTGAATATAAAGACATGGAAAAAAGTTTAATGGAACCCCAGATGTATCAAAAGCTCGCCATGTAAATCAATGTGCAAAATAATAACAACAAAGGTAAAAAATAACTGGACCAGAAGGGAGTCTAAGCTGATTTTTCTTTTCCATATATTCAAATTAAATCTTTACCAGAGGTGCCAATAAATGTGGCAAGCAGTTTAGCAGTGAAAAAATATTTTATCAAATTGCAAAAAACAGACAGACAGACAGACATGTTCTCTTTCCACATTGACAGTCAAATTGTCTAAAGGCCAGACAACACTGCGACAGTGTTGGATTTTATTGTGTGACTGATGAAGCATGGCTCATGTAGACCGGTCTCACCATTGCCCATTGTCTGGCTCTAATCCTCATGCGGCTGAGGCTGCGGTCCTCAGCATACAAAGCCCCCATCAGCGCTCCAATCGAAGTCCCACCGATCAGGTCCACCGGGATGCCGGCCTCGCACAGCGCTCTCATGATCCCCACCTGGGAGCAACCCCTGATTAGGAGACGAAGAAGATGAAACGGGACACCGACTGTAAAAAGACTGCATTTGTGTAAAAAGACTGGTTGAGGAACTAGTTTACCTGGCCCCTCCCCCGCCGAGGACGAGCGCGATGGCGTTGCCCGTGAGAACCCGAGCCAGACGGGAGAAGTCAGAGTGGCGGTCTGCAGGCTTCTCAAACACACGCTGGTACAGCTCCAACTGCAAAAAAAAAAAAAAAAAAAAAAAAAAAAAAAAAAAAGCAAAGAAAGGGAAGTTAAGAGGAATGAGTGAATAAATGACGACGATGATGTAGACTGAGAACGCTGAAGCGCAGCTGGGCCAAACTGGACCACGTAAGGTGCTTCGATAGACGAAATATTCCAACCAGCTTGGGGAGGCTCCTCTTAGAGAAGACCCTTCTGGGACAGGAGAGATGGAGGTGCCTGGAGATCCAGCTTCGCATGTTCAGCCAGTTCACAGTTCCTTGGGGAGGAGGGCCATCTTCTCGGTGCAACAACACCAGCTGCTTCTGGGCCCGCACTGCACTTCCTTCTAACATGCGCTCCAGCTGAGGGAGGGGAGAGAGAGAGAGCCATCGAGCACAGATGTTTCAGAACATTTTACATTTGACACTTTTTCCTGTGTGATGTTGGCACAGACGGACGAGCGCTTGGTGAAAAAAAAAAGTTTGGAAAACTTAACAGAAGTAAACAGGCAGACATAGCATTTCTGCTGGTAAATTGTCATGAATAAAGGATGAATCTTTAGATACTGAAGTTTCTTACATCAGCCCAAAGCCACACGTCATGACTGACTTTTCTAAATAACACTTAATGCCACTGCAAATTTAAAAAGCATGCTGCCCTCTATGTGTTTTCCCTTTATCTAATCAACTCCTTAATGAACATTTTGATTAAAGAAAACAAGATATTGGCCCGATCAGATTATTATCAAATTACCCCCTTCTGCCTCTGCTGAAGATAGTGTTAAGATTAGGATTTGGTTTTTTTTTTTTTTTTTTTTTGTAGAGAAGGTGTTTGCCCCACAGATAAAAACCAAGTAAAAGATATGACTCATTCTGAATTTGGGTAAATATTGATCCGTCTTTCGATTTCTGCTTCCATTTCCTGGTCAGCAGGGGCACATTCCTCTTTCCACTCCCCTCTAGAGGAGATTACCTCTCTTTCGTCACTTTAAAACATGGACTCTCTTTCACAGCATCCGTCCAGTCTTTGCTCATTTCTCAAACATATTTAAGGGTTAAACACAAGTCACCCTGACCCGATTCAGCCATTACAATGGTTAAACAAGAAGGCCACAACCTGATTCGACTGAGTAATGATCAGAAGTGGCCTTCATATTACATTAGAGGTGATTGTTATGTTCAGATTTTTTATATATATATAAAAAACTGTCCTTCTACAGATGTGTTACTAAAACTTTAAAATATCCACTCGCAGATTAAAAAACATAAAAACAAATGCAGAGTCAAGCTGCTGCCAAAAATCTAGAAGAAGTGCACTGAGCACTTCTAGAAATAAAAGACTTCGTATAACCAACCTTTGCACTCAAACAACTTTGATTCTTTAGCGCACTGCTTGCAAAAACAAAGTTAGATGATAGAAACAATTCTGAGGATCAGATCATGTTGACAAAATTAGCTACAATTTGAACACAATGTTCTCCATCAGTGCAGATCAGACAACTTTAACTTATGAATGGTAAGTAGTTGATTCTGAAAGGTTCAGTTGGGACTGGATAACTAGTAAAGTAGACGATAAAATGATTTCACTCTCATTACAAATTACTATTTTGAAGTTGCTCTTGTAGGAAAAACAATTACAAAACAGACATTACATTGTAATACAGCTACTGATAAAATAAAAAAAAACACAGCTATTAAAAACACTTTTTTGCATGCATCAGTATGACCTCCATCTTCCCTCTGTTTGCAGCCAAGTCTTTCCATCTCACCTCCCCAACAGCAGGGTCTTGCTCCCCAAGTCCCACAATAATGATGCAGTCAGCCTGACGGATGCACCGCTGAGTCCACGGGGTCAACGTGTAGTCGGTCTGATACAGAACTATGCGATGTATGTCTTCTTGTTGGCCCAGCCAGCTGGAAAGACGGTATTCATGGACACTACGGACAAAGAGAGTTCATAAATAAAGAATACTGTAGATCAATTTTTTTGCATCAATAAAACAAGTTTAAACATAAATGAAAGAGCAACAGCGGTACCAAAGGAAATACTTCCCATATATCTAATGCATGTTCAGGGAAAGCCTAAGGCCTAAAGCCTAATTATCAAATGTAAATATGAAACTCTTTTTAGTTTTGACATCAACATACCTATCCAGTGCTGCAGCTCCCAGCCTCTGCTTGATAATGTCACTTGTAAGCAGAAGAGTTGGTCCTGCGTGAGATCAAATTACATTTATCAAATCAACGTCTTCTCAAGGCAACTTCTACAGTAGCCTACAGCCCCCTGTTAAAACTAAAACTTTTCCATGACCTCGTTCATGTTTCTTTGGGAGAAGAGCATCAGCATGCTACATCTCATTGTGGCAATACTCAGTCCCAGTCTCTTACAAAGGTTCTTCAGGTTAATCAGGTGAATTTAAAACGACTGAATTATTTAAACTATTAGCTTAATAATTTGCACAGTTATGTTACAAGTTAATCGCAGCTTTAATTCTTCTTGTATTTTCCCTAAATAATAAGCTGAGCAGTTTACAATTTTTAGATCAACTGTACACGTGTGCCTATTTAAATTTTATTCTTTAAAGACTCAAAAGCTGATTGTATTAAAATGAAAACTTTAAAAGGGTAAATCTTCTCGCTTGCTTTGTCGCATACAAAGCAATGGAGTCACCAAAGCAAATCTGTCCTGACACGCTCAGTCGCAGCTCAAACCAGGATAAGCGGTTAAAAGTCATTAACAGTCCATTGTCAGTAATCCTGACCAATCATGTTTCTATGGCTTTGTTATGTATACTGGAAATCTCTTTTGAGGAATAGCCACCTGTTTTCTTTGTGCTAACTTTTCACATAACATTTCCGCACCAATTATTACAACAAACACAGTTTTCTGCTTCAAATGAAAGATTTCCTTTCCAAGAACACCGACTTTGTGTCTTCCTCTTTTAGCTTTAATTGTTTTTTTGTTTTTTTTTATTGTAATAACTATAGATGACAGGGCTTTAATTTTAATAAATACCTCCGAAGGACTCTTATGTGGAATGACATAAGAGTAAAATGAAAGCATCATGTCGGTGTGACCGTTGTCTTACCTATAGCAATGAGGGCATGCTGCAGCTCCAGGGTGAAGGTAGTCAAAGGCACCTCTTCTGATACAGGCAGGACCGTCACAGTAGAGAGGTTGGAGGCTTGATTCCCTGCATCCCACTTGCTCCCTGGAGTGTGGAGTGCCAAGCTACGAGCTGAACAAATCATTAAATTGTAGACATGTCCCTCAAAAAGATAAAAGCATTGGAAAAAACTCAATATCTAAGCAACTAAACATTCAGCATCACAATTGGTGTACTGTAACATCATGAGAAAGTAACATTATAAACCAAGCACACACCTGAAAAAGGAACGTTGACCTGCTGAAGAATCTTTTGACCCAACAAATGGATCAACCTTGTGACGACCTATGAGATCAAAATGTTTTATAACCAATTTTGCTTTAAAAAATAAAAAAAAAACATCAGGAAAACACTGAACTTGCACATGAAGTACAGTTTAGATCATGAGTACCTGTGGGAACCTCCTCTTGATGGAGTTGAGCGCCCCCTCTGGTAACTTAGCCAGTTCTGAATCTCGAACAGCGTGAACAGTTGTGGCTCGGTTCTGGTGGGTCAAGGCCTCCACCTGTAGAGACACTTGTTGCTTTATACTAAATCCCCACAAAGTATTTCACAATTGCTGTTTTACTATATCTTATCCTTCTCAAAGGCAATTAGAGTCTGGAATGGTGTAAGTATGATATAACATAGAGGTACATCGCTCTAACCTACTTTTCAAAGTGGAAAACACCAGAGAACCTGTCATTCAACTCAGGCGAAGTACTGTTGATCTTCATGTGAAGGAAATGTTTCTCTCCAAAACTGATCTCTACACAATTTAAAAGTCTAAAAAACAACTTGAACTGAGAAACGAGGTTTGTCTTGGCACCGTGTGCAGTGAGGAACGCAAAACTCACTGTTGGAGAGTAGCAAATGTTTCAGAGTGAGATTATGCAATGCAATTAAAGCTAAATGCTTCAAGGGTTTCCGAGCATCTTTTTACTCATAACTGTGGAGCGTCCTGTGGATCGTACACTTCCTTACTTGTGTATTAGTAGAGAAAAGCTCTCCATTTAGGTCAACCCAGCACTGCTTGCAGTGATCAACATACTTCACTACTTGTTTGGTGCGACAACAACGACCTCAAAGACTTCCGTCTTCACAAAAATGTCACCGCTAGTAAAATGTCTTGGTGTGCTTAAGTGTAGGCTCTCGGTTTGCCCAGAGCTTATACCCTCTTATAATCTATAAGAGGCATGGGCAGGTAGCCTATTTGAGCTAAGGTCTATAAGTCACCTATACAAGTTAGAGGGGTGACAAGGCACTTTATCCTTGCAGTATTTAGACCAAAGCAAACCACAGAAATTTCATTAAGACTGCAGGAAATTATTAACTTATGAAAAAAAAAAAAAAAAAAGCCTTATTCAGCTCCTTCAAGACATGAATCAGTTATTCTTTACACCCCCATTTACTGCTTACGAGTCCTGTAATAGCACAGTGTGAAACAAAGATCACAAGTGAAAAAAGGAGCTGTAAATGAGTTGTCTTCATTTCATGTCATCAAGAAGAGCTGACGTCAATACAGTGAGGCTAAATGTGTCTCCGAGTGCTAGACACCTCCATCGCATCCCTATTTTCACTACCACAACAGCTGCAATGACAGCTTTCCTCCTCCAAGTAGCAGTAACCATAGCATCCATCAGCCCAGGTATTATTAGAAGCATTGTGGCAGAAACCCGTCACCACAGCAAGTGGGAGGCCAGGTGAGGGTAACTAAGAGGTTTAGCTTTAAAAAAGTAGCCCAGGTGTAAAGCTATAAACAGCATAGCCTTTAAAACAACAGAGTTTAGCCATAAAGAGCAAAACTTGAATCTGGGGAAAATAAAACTTCAACGTGTAAAAAGTTGCTCAGCTAAAATAAAAAAACTTTGATTACTGATTATTGAAAATGGTATAAATAAATATTTTTGAGGTGCATTTTTAATAAAATGTTTTTTTTTTCTAAATGACAGCAATTTTTTAATTAATTTAATAAACTAAATGTAAATCTTGCTTTAAACAGCTTTTTTCCCCGATTGGCAAGCAATACTGAAGTAAACATCAGCGTTACATCCAGTGTAAGCGTGTCCAAAGTGAGGCCCTAGGGCCTTTTGTGGTCCTTGGAATAATTTTGTGACCCCCTAATAGTTGTTATGGAGATTTGGCGACCCTAAAATGCTACTCTCTGCTGCAGCTGTCTCATAGTAAACTCAAAAAAACATGCTTTCCTCTTCATCACTGTACATATTGGCTTTTCTTTTTTTTTTTTTCAAATAAAATTGATAAAAATCACAAAGAAAAATAATTTTTTTTTTCTGATTTTCCACATTTAAAAAAACTTTCTGCCTCATGTCTTACCACTCCAATCAGGTCACCACGTCCATACTCTCCTATCAGCTCCTTTTTGCCGTCGTCCTTCCTGATCACAGAGCGTAGTCGACCACTCAGCACTATAAAGGTGCTATCTGATTTTTCCCCCTGCCTAGGAAAAGTAAATAAAATAGCTTCAATTTAGTTAAATAAATCTTATTTAGTTGAATATGCTCAATTATTAACTTCTTTTTTTGGGATGTTCATCTTTATCCATTCATAAATGTAGACAACGTTTATGAAAATGACAAAGATTTGACGACAAAAACCTGTAAACAGCTCTGCCAGCCTCCACAGCCATCCAATCAAGGGCAAAGTCTATCTGTCTGATAAAAGACGACATCCGCCTGGAGACGGTGTGAGCAACATTCAGGACCACTTTTGGCTCAACACGCATTATCCTAAAGAATTAAAGAAACAAAGGTATGGAGAAATCAAAAGTTAAAGTGGATTTTAACACAAAATGAGAACACGTTAGAATGATCGCAAACAGGACGTGACTGACTCGTAGAAGTGGGTTTTGGAAATGGAGAGGAAGCTGCAGTCTCGCTGGGCTCGAACCGTAAATATGAGAGGCTCTCCGGTCAACACAGCGAGCTGACCCACAAGCTCCCCAGGATGCGTCACAAACAGACGAGTGTCTTCTTCACGATCAATCATCCTCTGATAAACATGGAGGAGCCCGGAGATCACAAACTGGATGCTCACTTCCTAGAAAACAAGCAGGGACGAGTCAACTGAGGGAAAATTAAAAAGCTAGAGGGTTTGATGATGGATGTTTATTGGACAGCAAAAAAAAATCTGCCTGATGTTTGTTTAAGTGTCAACTGTATGTTGCATTTCTGCATTTTGATCAGAAGACCCGATAATCTCCTGAAAGTATCACAAGGCTGATTGGCAGCACAAGTAATGAATATGTAACTTAAGATCTAGAAAAATCCCTTGCAAAAAATGATATGTTACATAAATTTAACACAAAAAAGAAAAGCAAAATTACTTTGAACCAAATCTTATACTCTTGGAAAGCTTGTTTATTCACTTTAAATTAATAAACATCTGTAAAAAAATAATAAATAAACAAAAAGGGGGTGGTGGGGTTTGTTTGAGCAGCAAAGTTGAACATGTGGGCTGTGCCAAAAAACAAATAAATACCTGCCAAATTCTTTCTACCTCTGCCAACCTACTTCTTCTGATATCAACTTGTATTTGGTGGAGTTTATTAGGTTGAATGGTTGGAGTACGGACAAACATTTGAACGTTTTTTTTTAATTCAACAAACAGGTTCAATTAGTAACGTGCAGGTGGAATCGTACACAACCACAGCAGCCCGGCATTTCCTCCTCATCCTGGTCACCAGTCTGATCACACAAAACGCCCAATGAAAATCAGAAACAAAATAAGTCATTTGGTACAGAGAGGATTTTCATGGATGTAATCCACAAGCTTCAACTGTGCTGCTCAACTTGCAAACATCTCATTTCTCTTAAAAACATTTGCTTTCAGTGGCTTCTTACACAGTACGAGTTGTTTTGTGGTTTCTGTCGTACTGTACTTATAGTATGTTTTATTTTGATTTTATTACCGTTTTTATTTGGTTTGATCTGTTTTGATGCGGCATAGCACTTTGGTTAAAATAAAGACTTTTTTTTTTAAACATGCTTTATAAATAAAATGGATTTGGATTTAAATCATTCAATGGGATTCTATTTCAAATGCAGCATCATTTAGAGAAAATTTGTGTTTTCAAAAGTTAGGATGTCTTGTCAAATAAGCATTGTTAGACATTTTTATTACCTCCTGTGATAAGTACATAATAGCTAAAAATACCAAACAACTCAGCTAATGGATTGTGAAAAGAAATTGACAACAGTCATAAAAATTTGTATAAAAAGGAAAAGGTTTTCTCTAACCTGGTCTCCTTGACGAGCTACAACAGAACCTGCCTTCACATGGTGAAGGGTCACCCTGCCATCAAGTAAACTGGGGTCCTATAAGAAAAAAAAAAGAAATTAAAACCTTCATTACAACAGCATAAAAAAAAAGAATCTTTCATCATCTTGGAATGAGATTCTCATTTATTGAAATGCATTTGTATTGATACAGTTACCTGCAGCTGGATGACTCCCAGGAAGTCTTTCTTAGCAGCCTGGAGGACAGTGCTGCTTTTACCAACGTTACTGGCGTCAGGCTGCCCTCCACTGTCAGTGTAGTGGAACACCTCAGACGGTGTTTGCTGCATCGTCACATTCTTCTTTAGAGCAGACTACAAAGCCGGACACAAGGAAGTCATTTAAAATCAGACAATAACCGCTGTAGCGTTGTGAGGTACAGCAGCTTTCTGGTTAATTTCACACCCAGTTTCTCCTCTCAGAGAAACATTAGAGCAAACATAAATGAGAAGTTAAACCGTAAAGTCTTACCTTCTGAGTGAGAGGACTGGATGGAGTCTCCTCTATTGTGACACGAGCTCGTTCACAAGCCATGTTAAGGTCATTTCCTGTTGTGCAACGCAGCAAAGAAGAAATTTTACAATCATAATTCCTCTTAAAAAAAATATGTGAAGGACAGAAAAAAATAAAATAAAGTGACCCACCTCCACAATCAGTGGGAGCAGAGACAGACCGCGACCTCCTACTGCTGTTTAGAGGACTATCCTTAACACCATCTTTTAAAATGGAAAACAGTACAAGAAGCAGATCAAACATGAGAAATTAAAAGCTTCATTTGAAATGTGTGCATGTGTAAGATCGTTATACCTGGTTCTGAAGTGGTCTCATTGGTCACAGCTGGAAACTCATCCTGGAAATGGTGACGACGAGCCGTCTTTACAGAATTTACCTCAGACATCACACTGTTTATATTGGACAACGGCACAGCCTGACTCTCCTGCCAAAGAAAACATAAGGGAAATAAATTCAGGTCTTTAATCTTTAGAAGCACAGACAATTGTAAGCTCCAAGAGCAGGATCCATTCACAAATGAGTACACCTCTTTAAAAAAAAAAAAAATACTGATTTTGAAGAAAATGATTTGTGCATGCTACTGAAATTATCAGATGGTACTAAAGTCAGTAACCACCTTAGGTCAGTGATCCCCATTTTTTGTGAAACGTTTGCATTCATTTCTATTCACATTTCCCTGACCAGGAGGAATGACGAAGGTGTGAAGCTGTGCTTAATGATCTGTAAAAGTAGCTTCCCTGTGTGTGATCTAGTGTGCAAATGCTTTTCTAATGTTTGTTCTGTGTAATTTGATCAAACGCCAAGCTTAGGTATTCAGCATGAGCATCTCTGCGTGACTCTGTGTAAACACACAAATATGCGTGCACCAATTAATTTCCCTCCTACCGGATTGAAGAGCTCGGTTGTTAGGCCCAGATAGTTATGCAACGCCAGAAAGGTCACCCTCTGAAGTCGCACCATGATTATCTGCAAATCCAACAAAGTCAAGAATAATTAAACAGAGCAAGATATGTTCTTCACAAGTTTGTGATTACTTCTAATTTATGGAAATGTATTTACATTCCATATTTATTGTTAGACTTTCCATACCTGGATGACGCGAACAAGTGTCTCGGGGTATTTCTTGAAAACTGACTCAAAGGCTGAAGCAGATAAGCGTAAGATGGTGGAGCGAGTTGCAGCTCGTGCTGATACAGTCTTATATGGAGCTGGATAACCCTGGAAATAAGAGAGAAGACAAATTCAACTACAATAAAAACTCTGAAAATAGAAGAGGATGACCAACAGCTGCTATTTTTCTGTTATTTTATACGTTTAACATTATTATACAGTCCAGTCTATTCCATCTCTGGATGTGCCTGAATTTTACCCTGCAGGTCTAATAAAAGCTTATTCTGTTGTAATCCACACATCAATGTTAAACTTTAATTACATTTCAAAAACTGGGTAACTACATGAGAATTGAAATGACTTCTCCTGTAATTATATCTATGCACAGAGCCATGCAAATATATTAATTCCCCTCAAACGTCTCTTAAATTCACAACCACAAACTTCACTGCATTTTAGTTTTATTGCTGTTTTTTGTGTTTGACCATTATATAATATACACCTGCGAATTGAAAAAAAGAAAAAAAAAGAATAAATGATAGAAAACTCTTAAGATCAAAGGTTGACCTGCCAGCAGAACACAGGCCACGAAAAGCTGGATAACTTCATGAAGGATATATATATATATATACAGTGACTGTATTTAAACAGAATATACATAAACATATATGAATGTTTCTCTATGTTTAACAGTCATCATATAGTTTCATTATAAAACTGTGTACTCTTATTTTTTATAGCCTGATTCTCTCACTTTAATATCCGTTATATGTGTTTTATAGTCTCAAATTGCTGTTTTTAAAATAGATAATCTGGATAGCACAATCTCCACTCTGAAAGGGATAATCGATAGATAGATAGATAGATAAGATAGATAGATAAGATAGATAGATAGATAGATAGATAGATAGATAGATAGATAGATAGATAGATAGATAGATAGATAGATAGATAGATAGATAGAGAGTTATAATCAAGCATTTCATGAAATTACGAGGTGTTAAGTAAACATGTTATTTATGATAATAATATGGAAATAAAACTATCCAACTAGATACTAGATACTTACATTTATTAGTTTTCTCAGAGGAAAACTAATATATGAACTAATAATGGGTGATCTAATTGAACTGATACAGTCAGATGAACGCACCAATGAGGACAGAAGCCAGCCAAATGTAAAATGAGAGAATAAATAAGAGCTCACAGTGATGATGTCCAGAATGCTGAGCAGGCTGTGGACACTGTCTCCAGGGTGAACATCCTTCACCACTGGCTCCGTGCCATCCTTTAAAAGTAAAAGCATCCATAAAGCTGAGTATTTGTTCAACGTCTGCTTGAATATGCCATCAAAAAAATTAAGTCATAAAAAAAACTACATTTCAAAATATCTTATAATCCATATAGATAGATGTTACTTTAGTGCCCTCTGCTGTTCATATTTATTAAATGTCATTTTTAAAATCAATGTTTAAACAAAACATTGCAATCTAACAGTTGTTTGTAGAGTGATACATGTTGTACATAAGAAAACAAATGACTGGATTACTGAAACCCAACTTGAAATCACTTTACCTATAAATATTTTTTTTTTTAAAAGAGCTATTGTTGTTGTTGGCGACATACATTTTCTTGAACACAGAGCTCAAGTCGACCATCCTGGACCACATATATACTGTCATCGTCATCTCCTGGTCTGAAAAGCACTTCCCCTTCTTGAAGCTCAACAAACACCATGTGGCGACACAACTCCAGGAACAGAGGCTTCTCAAAGTGACCCAGGACTCTACAAGAAGTGTGACAAAACAAGCATTATTACACCGTCTTAATAGGGAGACAACATTTTATAAGGAAAGATGTTGCAAAACTGTTTACCTAACATTTTTTAGCATATAGAGAACCTCTGAAGGAAGATTTGAACTCTGCACATCAAACTCTGTTAGATCTGCCTCCAGCAAAGATGGAGGAGGTTCCTTATGCTGCAGAGTGGGTGGGTCTTTACGGATCCTCAAGATTCTGTTAGAACAGAGAAACTGATTTAAGAGCAAGACCTAAAAATAATTGTTTTCACAGTAAATGACATGTAAAAATGTTGCAAACCTGCGAGCTATGGTCAGAACTTTGGTTCTTTTGCGTATGCGCTGCGGTTGCTTTGACACTGAGGATAAGGAGGGGGGAGGAGTAGAGGACAGCGTTTGAACCTTGAGCAGAGACGACAGAGAGAACACAATCAAGTTTGTTGTTCTTTGAGGCGTACACCAAATTACTGAAAAGCTTAGAAAATGAATTGTCTAAATATAGAGATCAAAGTTTGGTTTCCTTTTGGCTTACATTACTTCACTATTTCTACAGTGACCCACTCGCTGTATCACACAAACACCAGGTTTATAGTGACATATACAGTAATTTATTAAAGGGGGAAAAAATGTGAAAATTAACCCAAGACTTAAGTAAATTAGAGAACCATAATCTAGTAAAATGTAATTATTTGTTTTCAGACATGCCAACAAAAATGTAAATAGAAAAAAAACAACCTTTCGCATTATCTTTCTTCCATAGAAAAGCACTTTATCTCGTTTTCGGAAACGATACTGGGGCACACCAGGCTGCTGCTCACCTTTGTCAGAGAATCAAAATGTAAAATGCAGATACAATTACATTACAGTTCCTTTAGAGGGGAATATAAAATTAAATATTTATTTGAACAATATGTAATTTAGAATGAGCTTGGAAGACTCACGAGCAAGCTTGATTTTTCTGTAATAGAAGAGCACCACAATCCCAATCAGTACGACAGCGACCACTGCTCCGATCAGTACACCTGTTAGCTGGATGTACACAAGAAATAATGTGATGAATAATCCGAGCTAACAATAAGATTTTAAATCAGTAAGGTTAAATTAAACGCTGGTTGATTCTTTACCAGTATAAACATCAACATCACAGAAAATCAAGCTATAAGTTAATATTTTTATGCACAATGGTTCTGACATGCACAGAACAAGGGAAATAAGAAGCAAACTGCTATAAAAAGTGTTGTCAGTTTTTATTATTCAGTAATTCTTACCATCGTGGTTTGCATCCTCTCTTCCACAAACTGTTGAACTCGTGCCTTCAGAGCACTCCTGCTGCCCGTCAGCATCTAGACATATTTGATATTAGCACTAGTTTGCCTATCCAATTAATTAAAAAAAAAAATAAAAAATACACATTGACTAAAGAATTCAAATGAATGTCTCTTCTGTCATAAGTATCAAAAGAAGTTGTGCTGCATGCATACCGAACTGGACCATTGGCACAGCTCCCTCTCATCTGCAGCACAGTCCATCCTGTGTAACAAGAATCCCAGTAAACGATTAGCCTCACACTTAAATAAAACGTGACCTACAAAAAGAAAAGATGTCAGCGTTTTAAAAAGAGAAGTCCCATTTTGTGAAGATGTCTCTTTCTTCTGGAGAAATGGAAAGAAATAATTGAAAAGAGGAACCTGGATTTGAATGTTAGCCTCATTCGGTAACCCCCTCCAGCTTCATGAAATAAGTATATGCTCGTGTAATTAGGCAAACAACGCGATTGACAGCTGATGATTTTCCGACGTGGTTAGAAAGAAAAATACTATTAGCTTGGGTTATCATTAGCTAGCAGCTGACTGAACAGGGTTTACCGTCTTGCTAGTGAAAACAACGTAGCCAAATTCAACAGCTAATTCAACTATTAAAGTAATCCGAGAAAAACGGGAGGAACAATGCTTACTTTTATGGGATTTTCGAAGTGCTGCTTCCTATTATTTATTTACATCGCTGAACAGACAAATTTGTTAGCAACGCGCTAACAAAGTTTTCTTTATGCTGTCAGCTGCTTTGGCCCGCCCCTCTCTGCTGTTGCCTTGGTTTCGCTTGAGGCAGGTATCCAATCAGAACGAAGCATGTTTCACTATCGTTAAAATGGAAAGTTTCATTCTAATTTTACAAGTTAGGCTCCTGAGCTGAGCAAGGTGAAGTCTGCTTTTATTTTCACTTTTATCCTAACCAGAGCTAAATACTCTGGCTCCTGCCTGAACACTTCTACTACTGACTTTCAGGATGTTGAGAAAAATTTAATCCGTCGGAATAAAACAGCATTGCAGTTTTACCCCGTTGCAAACAGACCTCCAACAAACTTTTTGTTTTATTAAGATCTTTATGTCTAATACTTTGCAAATATATTTATATTCCTTGAAATTCTTCCCATTTTCTTAGTTTACAACCATGAACTTTAATGTAGTTTTTTATTACCTTTATTTTTTTTAGATTTAATATGACATTTCAACACAAAACGGTGCAAAAATTTGAAATGGAAAAATAATGTTAAAAACATCTGAAAGGTCTGATGTGCAAGTCACAGGCTCAGTTAAATAATAAAGCACAAGAAATGACTCTGAACAACAATTCAAGTCTTGGTACAGATTTTCCATTAGATTTTAGAAACATAATTTGCTATCAATTGCATGGCATGATCATTTATGGTAAAGTTATGTTCCAATATATCATGTAATAATCAAATTAAGCTTGAATGCTATGAAATACTGAACTGGTAATGCAAACATTAGACATGCACACATTTGCATCATTTTTTGTGAGTTTGAAGATCACAAAATTCAACAAATGAATCCATCAACACCATGATTTCTTTATATAATGTAGCCTTTAATATTGAACAAAATAAGATATTTTTTATGTTACCACACTTCATTCAATTACAGATTATGTCATAAGTAAACATAGCTTAGAGACTTTACTGAAATACAGAACTGACTCATTCCTTTTTTTATTTGTGACTATTTAACTGAATGCAAAATACTGATTTATGAAACACAGCAACAATATACCTGTAAACCATCAGGCTTTGGCAAGATGCATAAAGCAGACCTGCACCTTATAAAGACTGAAGAAGACCAAATAGCACAGCAGTTTTAGTATGTACAAAATCTTTGATATTTGCAGTAACCTGTTAAATATGCAAATGTAAACCTTATGTTGCAAATATCTCTTTTTATGTGCAAATGCATTTCTGTTTCTTCTGAAACAGTTTTGCTTCTTCTTTACTCTCAGTGGAAGCCATCTTACAGAATCATGTTGGTACCAGTTGGAAGAGAGATCCTATTAAAGCACAAGTACAACTTAGCAATGTAGTTACATACAAATAAACCTGTCAACACAAAGGATAAATGAGTTTCAATTAAAGCAGATAAATACTAAAAACAAAAAAACCCTGATCATTTGTCATTCCCTCTTGGTCTATTTGGTCAGGTACTTGGCCACAGATTTGTAGGCAATGAGGATCTCTGAGTCATTTGGGCAGGTGTAGCGAAACTGTTCTTGTTTGTAGGCATTATTCAGGTAACGTGTCAGTCCTTTCAGCTCCTTGGGGATGTCAAAGTTGCGGTACTCCTTACACACCACCTATTGGGAGAACCACGAGATTTGCTGTGGTGATTTATTTTTTATTTTTTATTTTTTTTTTATAAGCAATGCTCTTGTGAGTTCCTTTTACCTTTATGATGTTGAGTTTGGGAAGCAAGTTGCAGTCTGCCAAGGTGAAGGAGTCACCATCGAGGTAGAGGCGTGTAGACTCTGTGATATTTGGGTTCTGATCCAGTTCGTGAGGGAGTGGAGTGTCAAGGTACATGCTCAGCTTAACCAGAGTTGACAGAAACTGTTTCTCAAGCACTGGAAGACAAGAAACAAACCTTTGTAAAGTTTTCTGAAAGCTTTGCAACAAGGAGACCATTTTATTCAGAATGTAAGTTAGAACATCCGGGAATTTTTCTTACTGATATTTAGCCCAGGATTGGGATTTTTAATGTATGCTGAAAATTTTCTGAAGATGTCCTGTCCAGTGGTGTTGGACTCTTTGTATCGGCAGCCGAGTTTTGGGTAGCTGTGATTTTTACAAAGTATGGTTACAAATTTTGATAGTTACTTAATGTCATTAAAAAAATAAAAAGATCTATTATAGATCGCTTTACTTACTTCGGTGGGGCAAGTTTCTCCTCCAGGAACTCCTCAATCTTGTTAGTGTCTGTTTTGACTTCCTCATTGTAGATGAGGAAAGGAGGCTGAGATCCAGGAGCCAAATTTTTCAGCACATCAGGTGCCCTGCAACAGGACAACAACCAGAAAGGAATTAGCAGTTGAAATATACCTAAATTTACTTAAGAAAATTCCCTGAACAAAACTTGCATTTCATTGCATAAAAACTGAAAAGTCCAAAATCAAAAGATGCAGTGATAGCAGCATCAATAACTGGTGTTAGATACCAGAACTCTGAGCTGTGTTTGACATCAGATAATTGCATTCAAGTCAAGAAGTCGGAATTTCAACATGGCAAAGATAAACTATTGTCTAACTCACCTTAACACAGCTTTATTTTCGCATAGATTGGCAATTGTACAAAGTGTCTACCTTTATCAGAAGTGTCAGACTGAAGTCATGTGAGGGCCAGGATCCCACAACCCGCTCCAATGCGCCTTAATAAAATGGCTAAATTGCCTCTCGATCAAACAGTTAGGTTCTACAGAATCTATCTAATGACCTAATGATTAGAACGAGGTGTGTTTCAGCAGAGACACACCTAAAGCCTTGAGATCAGGCCCTTGAGGACTATAGCTTTACAACTTTGGCCTAAATTGTTCCAAGATTGCAAAGTTTAAACAACAGATGTCTGATATACATGTTTTTAAGAAAAAGCTTGTGAGAACGGTCTGTTTTTGTGACTTTTCTGTCCTTTGTAGCAGCTAGCTTTGCTTCTTGCTTATGCTATCTTACACCTAAAGAGGATGGGCTCCCCTTGTACACAGGCTATTAGACCTCAACGCAGCCATCTGGGGTTCGATTCTGAACCATGGTACCTTTCCTTCATGTCTTCCCCACTTCTCTCTGCCTATTTCCTATCTAAATACCTCAAGTAATGGCCACTGGTGCCATGACAAATCTTCAAAAACAGAAATATTTCCCTAAAATGCACCACAAAGACATATTATATATTACCAGTGTTTTCAATGACATTCCCTGGGAGATAATAATTGTGTGATGTCAGTCAGGTGGCGACTCCGGCACACCCCAAGCAAAGAATGAGCTCATCTGATCTTACCTCCTCATGTCAACAGTGGTCAGGGTGAAATTGATCCCCTTCAGCCAAAGGATCATGAAGAGCCTCTGACAGAAAGGGCAGTTTCCAACACTTTCAGCATCATCGCTGGCCTGCATACAGACAGGGAAACCATAACCAGATCTCATGGATATGTGAAAGGTGTACTCTAAAAATGACGGGATGACTGGTATTTTTTAGCATAATGCAACATGGATACCAAAGCCAGCTCTGTAATGTGTCTGAATAAATTATAGATACCCGTATAGGCATTCTCATCAATCCTGATCTCCTCTGACAGATAGAGACAGCTATGAATGCAAATTTGAAATGGAGAATTAGGGCTTCTGATACCCTTCATTAAAAAGTTGGTTGTTTGAATTAAACTTGTTATCTCTGCTGTAGCATACAGTGACATATCTGGATCCAATCAATTAACTAACCACCTCGAAATGGGTAAAAATATAACAGAGAACCTCTCTGAGATCTTGGCTTCAATGACAAAGTCGACTTTCATGACTAAAAATGATTGGCTTGGCGTAAGACCTGCTGGCTTGTTAAGTCGACAAAAAGTTTGCCGCTTCTTAAGGGGAAAAAAAAAACAACTTTCAGGCCAACATTCTACAGACTCAGTTATAGTATTTCAGCCTTATATGTTAGTTAAAAAGTAGGTCTCTTGATCTTACCTTCACGAAGAGCTCAATCTTTGGAGTCTCAGCCATTTTTCTTTCTCTTTGTCTGATTGCGTCCACCTATTCCTGTCGCTTTCTCACGATGGCTTGTTTCTGTTCACGCAAAGATAAGTCAAAACTGATTGTAAAGATGCAGTAATCCTTCGGCTGACACATGCGCGCTCATGTACTTTCATGGTTCTTGAAAAACTGGTAGTAGTAAGGTGAGTACAGGCAAGTTGTTCCTACACAGCCTGTAAAAGGTACAAAAACATTACTTTAAACTCACTTTACCGGTATTATGTGATGCCTCTTCTCCTCCTTCCAGTGTTCACTGCACCTGTTGCTGTTATTATTATTTTTGTTCTTCTCTAGTCACACCCCTCAAACTTTAAGTCAGGCTACGCCCCCCCCCACTGGCTTTACCAGTTGGACCAGCATATCTGGATCTGTTGAAGCTGCCTTGCAGCACACAATCTGGGAAAAATCAGAGTGTGCTCATGCTAGCACAGTCTTGAAACATTGTTTCCTGATTCTTCTTAGTGTATTTAGTCCCAACATGATTGCCAATCAGAAGACCTAAAAGATTTGCTAAGTGACATGGTACCACTGGATGTTAATGAACTTTAAATTTAGAACTCCTTTAGGTAGTTTGAGGGGTCCAGACGTAATAGTTATACAGATTTTGAGGCTAGTATGTGCATGGACACTGAAGTAGCTTCCAAAAGTTAATTTTCTATTTATACCCGTTGAGCTTTTTTAAATTTAGCTAAGTTACAAGCAAGTTAAAACGCCAAGGATATTTCTGATACTCCAAAATAATATGTGAATAGTTGTAAAGACGAGGGAAGAGGAAGTTTTTTTTTTGTTTTTTTTTTATTTTGATCACTTTTTAAAAAGATGGTACACTTTAGCCGCAAACTGTTATTCTTCCCATCAGCTGCGTCCAACTTTCCTGCTCCTATTGAAGAGAGGCATCCCCAAAGCTCGATGCTGCCACCACCGTGTTTCAAGGTGATGCATGTTATCAGTTTTTGGCCACACATAGTGTTTCCCATTTTGGCTTAATTGTTACTTTTTGGTCTAATATGAGCAA